TGAGGCAAGATAATTGTGAGTTTAAGGCCAGTTTGGGCTACATAGTGAGATCTTGTCTCCAAAAAGGGGAACCCAACTAGCTTTTTAAAAATTCAAAAATGTTTAAAATTGGCAGTAATCATGAAATTCAAGTTAAAATGTCAAAAAAAAATATGACTTTCTAATTCTCAACTAATACTTCTTTTTATTGTGACCTACAGAACTGAAGAAGACATGGTCAAACTGATCTTCACATGTGCTTTTGTGATCTTGTAAACTAGTAGCAATCTTTGTACCACTAAACACACTAGTCCTATTTCTGAGAATTTCTCCTAGAGAAATAAATATACAAAGGTTCATTGTAACTCTATTTATGCTAATAAAGAGGAAATCAACACGGTCAGCAATGTGAAAACTAAGTTAATTTCAACTGAATTCTTTTTTATTCATGTTAAACTTGCAAAAACTATTCACGTGGAAAATAAAAAAATGAGGGGGAACTCCAAAGTGATTACAGTAGTTAGTACTGTACTACTACAGTATTAAATATAAATGCTTTTCCCCTCTTTTTCTCCTTTTTTGGACTTTTTGTGATACTGTGAGGATACAGTATCCCTCTAGTCATACCATTTTTATTGTAGTAAATTGGAACATTGGACTTTTTCATCATAACTTGATAATTTTTTGTGTTCTATCCATCTCATCTATCCAAATTAAACTTGGCAGTTCGTTCATATTGTAAATGGTTTAGCTCTTCCTTGGTGGCACTCTGGTTATTTGATTATGATTTATTAGATATATTTCTCTTCTGAGAGTTTACATTTCATACCCAGTTTATACTGTGTCTCAAATGCCTGTAGGGACTCCTTTTAACTTTGGGCTTCATTTAAATATCAAGCATGAAGTAAAATCATAGATACCCAGCAACTTCACTTTTTAAAAGCAGGTTGAAAAAGAAAATAATATATTGGAGTAGAGACTAAAAAAAGTAACCTCAGGAAGCTCTGGGAGTTGTTTAAGGTAGAATGAAAGTGAGGTGAGGGTTTTCATGAGGGCAGGGCAGTGGCAGTTAAAAAGATGGATGAGGGAAAGAAGTAAAGAAGAATGAACAAAGCTTGATAGCTCTGTGAAGATGGGAGTGGGGACAGTGGAGGGTGTCATCAGTATAGATGCTTAAATCAGATTGGGTTGAGAGAACAGTAGTACACCTGGAGAAAAACGGCCACCTGTTGGTTGAATGTGGACTAGAAATTAGGAAAGATAAAGCACAAATTCAAATTTAAGACTCATCCACATTGAAGCCATGAATATTTCCTGAGGATGCATGAAGTCTATGACGGAGGAGGAAAAGTTACCTCTTCATGGCTGCCCACCAAAAAGAAATTTAGAAGGGAATTCTGTAGTTGGAATCCCATGAGTGATGGATCCATGTTGTTTGTCATGTAGTTATTGTTATCAAATTAAGTGAATGTCATCAAGTATTTCAAAAACATAGTGTTTTTTTAATATCAGGAGCCTCAAGCAATTCTTTATATATATCAATGACATAATTTAAAAATTTTTAAATGCTTTTGCTTACTTATTACTTATTACTTACATTTGTCAAATTTTATGGAAATTTTGTCTAATATGATAAAATCCAGTTTTGAAACTTGCTTTGGTTAAGTTTCTCAGAACTCTTTGCAGTTTGCTATTCAGTTGAATTTCTGAAATGAATTTGTAGTAAACACTAATGACATCGTTGCCTACAGTTTAGACCTAGATGAGTAGTTCTGAGGACTACTTGCCATCCACCTGAATGCGTTATTTCAGCTGATGTGGTTTATAATCTGAAATATGAGCCAGACTGATGTAATTGAATAACCTGATTTATATCTGTTAGGACCATAATTGAGATTAGGTCTGTTAAGTCTCTGGAGTCAGGTATGCAGTTTGCTCCATGGTTTGTTTGTTTTCATTAATTAAATTTATTCATTTAGAGTAGCATTTTAATTTCTAAATTTGTAAGTTGGGACAAGAGAAGTTATATACTATGTAAGTATCAACAGTATCTTTATTTTTGTCATAAAATTCAACTGAAGGTAAAGAAGCGTATATTGGGTAATAGATTGCTACACTCTACAAAAATAACAGGCCATACACATGAAATTAACTTCAGCCTGGCAAGTCTCCAGACACTTACATCATCCTATAATCAGTATTTGCTGCAGACTCCTGACTTCACACTAAGTTACTGTGCTGTTTGTAATTTGATTCTCTGGTTCCTGAGGTACCATATCAAAAGCATCATAGTTTGGTGCTTCTTGATGACGCAGTCCTCTAAATTACGTATTTGTATCATTTTATAATGCCTTTGAGAAGAAGAAATATTGCTTTATCCTTCAGATTTAAGTTCAAATTAATTAAATAGTCTGAGTCAGAACACACATTCATGCCACTATACATTAAGAGAGACTTTATTAATCTAACATTTTCATATTGCTCTGCAGTATAAAATTTCTACTAAGCCTTCCTATTTTGAATAAATTATTTGATAAACATTTTGTGTCCTCCAGATGTCTGGATTAGCAGTTACCTCTGCCCAGCTCATGGAGGAGCTCCACTCCACAGGGGATGGCCTAGTGAAGAGATGGTTTTGTGAACAGCATGGCTTTCTGAAGCTTAACAGGATGCAGGAAATTGCTCTGTGGGGTGTGGAAAGGAGATGCAGCCCAGATTTAATACAAACTCCTTCAAGATAATGGAAGCGGAATGCAGGAAATAGCCTCATAAGGTTAACTGAAATGCCAGTCCCCACAGCAAAATTAAGTCACACAAGGGAATTAAAACTGGTAGGTCACTTGCTAAAAGTTTTGGAGAAAGCAAGAAGAATTAGGTAAAAGAGAAGGGAGGAAGAAGAAGAGCCTTACTAATCATATACAGCCCTGAAATTCTGAATGACGCCTATTAGAAGCAGGCAGTTCTTAAGTACCATACCTTTCCTTTCTTTTCTTTGTCCCTTGGTATTCAGATGTCTAAATTGAAAATATAGCAGTTAGGACTCAACAAACTTCATTATATCACATTGGCAAAACATTAATTTTTTAAGTTCTCATTAAGAACTTCCTTTACATAATCTGTCTTTTTAAAACTCCAAATAATTTTATAAACAGATACATTAAGGCCTCCATTTTCTTCAACAGGTTATCTTTACAAACTCTTAGTCTATCTCTTCATATTTTTCTAAATTTTAGAAATCATATGTCTGTTCATCAGTTGACTCTGTTAATTACATAAGGCCCCTGAAAGTACTGTGATAAATTGCCTAGTATGATACAGGTTTTAAATAATCATACTTCTGTTCCATTCAGGAAACGTTACAGAATTAAGATAATGTGAGTATCAATATAAAAGCTCATCAAATTAAAAATATGTTTAGTATGTCATTGTGTTTTTGTTATTTTGTTGCAGTTCTTTGGAGCACATCATTTTACTTCTCAGAATATAATCTTCTGAGAGTGAGATTATTAGGAACAGTTTAGGCCAATGGTAAGCACACAGCAGGCACTCAGTTTTGGTTAGTCCTATATGTTAACATAAAAGTGTGTGTAACATATTATCTATTGGCTACTTATTTTTGGTAAATATTTGAGTTTTCTCTTTTGCTTCATGCTGGAAGGAAAGGAGCAAAACAAATGCAGCTCTGCTCTCCTTCTGATGGTCCCTAGAACCATGGATTCTCCAGGCTTATCAGTCCTGTGTCCTTAACCACGTATGCATTCATGCTTGAGCTTATGGGTTTTCTCACATTTATCCACTAGGCTTATCTTCAGTTTTCTTCTGCCATTCTTTAGTCCTTTTGTTTGCTCAATTAAAGTCAGTACCACAGAGGCTTTCTGTTTCCTTGTAAATTTTGTGTGGTTACTCCTAGTTACCTTATTTCTGCCCATACCTGTATCTTAAGTGTCATTTTGACATATTCATGCCTGTATGATGTGTGCATATCCTTGCTAACTAGAAGAAAAGCTGCTTGAAGACCATCTCTTATTCTCTGGCCCCTGTGTCCTCCCAGTGGCACAGAGCTCTCTATATATTAGATGCTTACTTTAAAAAAATTCTCATTCAGTAAAGGGAGTTTTATACTATTGTCTGATTTTAAATAGTTGCCAAGTATTGATTACATGTAAATGCTGAGCTCACCAAAGAACTAAAAAGACTTGTTCAGACCTTCAGAAGCTTGTAGCATATTTTGCTCTTGGTCAGTTTGTAATAAACACTAATAATGGAATTCTTCAGCCAACAAATTGATCTTATTTAGTGCTTTTTAAAAAATTTTTTGGTGGTACTGGGGTTTGAACTCAGGGCTTCATGCTTGCTAGCAGGTGCTCTACTTGAGCCACAGCTCTAGACTAGCTCTTTTTGCTATGGTTATTTTAGAGATAGGGTCACACTTTTTGCTCAGGCCAGCAATTCTGAACCATGATTCTCCCATTTCATGCTTCCCACTGTACCTGGGATGACAGGTGCATGCTATCACACCCAAATGTTTTTTCCATTGAGATAGGGTCTCACAAACTTTTTTGCCTGGCTGGCCTGAAACCTCTATCCTCCCGATCTCATTTAGCTTGGAATGACAGACTCACGCCACTGCACCAAGCTGTTGGTTGAGATGGGATGTCATAAACTTTTTGCCCAGGCTGGCCTCATATTACAAAACTCCCAGTCCCAGCCTCACAAGTAGCTAGGATTACAGGTGTGAGGTACTGGTATCTGGCTTAGTGTTCTTAAACTGACATCTGTTTACTATAATGGAGATGACTTAGATTCTAAGGACTCTTCAAAATAGAAGTAAAACAATATTCATGGCATTAAGAATTTACTATTACCAGCACATTTTTATATGGTAACCTAAAATTCTTCTGTTTATAACATTGGTAGTTTTTTTAAAAATACGGAATACATCATGGGCAGTTAACACTATTACTATTATTCTAAAGTTTTACATGATTCTGTACACATTAACAAATACTTCTTTTTTCTAGGGAATGGATTTGTAAACTCAAGAGCTTCTCCAAATATGATTGGAAATACTGGTGCAAATAGTTTAGGCAAAGTCATGCCTACAAAGTCTCCCCCTCCACCAGGTGGTGGCAATCTCGGAATGAACAGTCGAAAGCCAGATCTTCGAGTTGTCATCCCCCCTTCAAGCAAGGGCATGATGCCTCCACTGGTAAGCTGAACCTCTCCAGCTTCTGTTCTTAAAAATGCACATTTTAGGACTAGAGGTATGGCTCAAGTGGTAGAACACCTGCTTAGCAAGTGTGAAGCCCTGAGTTCAAACCCCAGTACCACAAAAAAAAAAAAAAAGGTAAAACACACATTTTATACATAGTCTGTATCTTCCTTCAGACTCCATACCTTTTCTTAATGGGTATTTCTATCAAAATTGGCATTTCAAGAGACCACTTGATTTAAAATGCACAAAAAAGATATATAAATAAATTTGCTTATTTTTTTTTAAATTAAAGGTAAATATAAAGAGGCTATTACGCTTAATTTCTGTTTTACCAGGCTAGAAACTGCTTAGAGATTTCATTCCCAAGTTTATAAGTTAAACATGATGTATTTCTTTTCTGTACTTTGTATTCTTTTAGTAACCTATTACATGCTTTTCTGTGAGAGGAATGCTAAATGATTTATTAAGAAATTCTATATACCAAAGAGAACTGTTACAGAAGTTCTGTGGAAGAATACATACATAATTTTCTTTGCTTATTCCTTCTCAAATGACCATTTCTATTTAACTCTTTTATATAGAGTCCCCCCACTCTGCTCCTTTTCAGCATCTTTAGAATCCTAGCCTCATTTTCTTTTGAATCATAAGTCTTTGTACATGAAGAATAAAAGAATATGTTTATTGTACTTCACTTCTTAAAATTTAGATATATATGCAAATTTAGCAAATGTTTGACTACTAGCATACTGAGTGGTATACAGATGTTCATTCTGCTATGTAGCTGCTGAACTTGTCACTTGTATTTTTGCCAACTGTCAGTTATGCTGTCAGGCTTAGGTAGGTATGAATTCTACGTTTGTGTAATGCTTTATACATCATCATACATGTATTCTGTCATTTGAATCACAGTTAGATTGTGATTGTGGCTAAGTTAAGTTGAGAAAACTGAGCTAAAGGTTATTACTTGTCCATGATATTATGAAATACAACCAACACCTTTAAACCTTGATCTGTTTAAGTCTTACACACTCTGGATCAAAAGAGCAAATAAGGACTTTTTCATTTGGAGATACAGAAAACTGGAAAGTTTATTGCTTCCAACTTTATAATTAACAAAGAGAAGTTGAACATACAGCAGTTTTCCTTCAACCCATTGTAGTGCTCAGATTTTAGGGCAAATAACTAGCCTGGCGGCTAGGAAAAGAAATACTGTGGGGAGAGGCACTGTTGCATTGAGCAAGCTAAGGCCAACTCTGCAATTGCAGGACTGTTTGAAATGCCTGGGGCCACATTGTAGTGTCATATATTATAGGCTTTTCTACTACGAACCCCATGTGGTGCTGCATGTTGATAATCAAGAATGTCCTGGAAAGGCTTATCTATAGAACGCAACTGGAAGAAGAAGAAAGTGGCCACTGCAGTAGGGGCAAAGTATTGTTTGGATCTTTCTCTCTTCCCTCTCCCATGGAACAAACACCTTTATCTGTGAGGAGGTGAACAACAAACGTCAGTACTTTGGGGACTGCTGAAATTCTGTTGTATCTGGAAAAATGGAAAAGAAAATGTATTCAAGCCATGATGGAGGAGCAATAAGAAAGACATGTTGCAAAGCAGTGCCCTGAGAGTGGCAAAATGACTGAGAAGACTACAACCTGAGGCACATCACTGAGGGGACATCAGAGAGCGGGGCAGTCATGGGGGGGGGAACAAACCTGTTAAGCCAGTTCCCACCTTCAGAGGGGTTTGAAGCCTGTGATAGATACTCTGAGGGTAACTGAGCAAATAAAGCTCAGTTCCTAAGAAAACTAGCTGTAGCCCTGCACTACAGACCCTGTAGGAGGAAAGATCTATAGTTCTGTAAGTCTGTAGGAAACACCAAACTGAAATACAAAGAAAAGAATCAAAACCAAACTCAACAACAAAAACAAACCAACAACAAAAGAGGAAAACAAAAAAACAACAGAGCATCCAAGAGCTGCAAGACTTTATCAAACAGTATAACATAATTGTAACTAGAATTCCAAAAAGAGAGTAGGAATAATACTTTAAGGAAGAACAACAAACACCAAGTAGGATAAATACTACCAAATATACACACATATTCAGACTGCTAAAAACAAAAGGCAAAAAGAAAAATCTTGAGAACAACCAGAAAAAGAGATACATGATATAGAGAACAAAGATTTAAAATACTATACTCTTCAGGAACCGTGCAAGCTGGAAATCAATGGAATAACCTATCTAATGTATTGAAATTAAAAAACACCTCAACCCAGAATTCTCTACTCAGCAAAAGTGGTTTTCAAAAATAAAAGCCAGCTAAAGGCTTTCTCAAACAAACAAAATTCAAAAGAATTTATTGCCTGCAGTCCTATTCTACACAAAATATTAAAGTCCTGTGGTAGGAATATGCCAGCAAAACCTTCAGTCTACACAAAGAAATGAAGAGTAGTGGCAATGGAATAAATGAAGATAAAATTCCTTGTCTTCTATTTTCTATAAGCCTTTTGTTTTAGAACAGTTTTAGATTTATAGAAAAATAGCAAATATAGTACAGAAAGTTTCCTTATACTCTATAACCACCTTCTATTAATACTTTACATTAGTATGATATTTGTTGAAATCTTACACTAGTATATTTGTTGAATCAATATTGATACATTCTCACTAACAAAAGTTCATACTTTAGTCCTATTTCCTTATAAGTGCTATATTTCATTTAGTAATTATGTCACCTTTTCTTTTCTTTTGAGAATTTGTAAGATTTCCTTGCTTCACCATGACAGTTTTGAAGAATATTTGTCATGTGTTATATAGAACGTTCCTCAATAGAGAGTTAACTGATGTATTTTATATGATTAGACTGAGCTTATTGGTTTGAGGGAAGAAGGGCATATAATAAAGGTGCCATTTTCCTCACATCATCTCAAGGGTACATAGTATCAATATGACTAATTACTACTGATGTTAGCTTGGTCACTAGACTGGCGAAGTGTTTCACATTTCTCTGCTGTAAATTCACTCGTTTCCCCTTTCTATGCTATAGTGTTTGGAAGAAGATTACTCTATGTAGTCCACACGTGAGAATCAGGGAGTTGTACTCCACTTCCTTGGGGAGAGAGTGTCTATATAAATTAGAGTTCTTCAGCACAGAATATTTGTTCTTACTTGTCTATATAAATATGAACGCATGGGCATTTATTTTGTACTTCAGCATATAATGCAGTATACCACCTTTGTTTCTTCTTCCTCTTGCTTTAACTTGAGCGCTGTTTACTTGTATACCGTGACATGCCCTTAGCCTTGTGGGGCTTGTCTGTCTGTCTGTTTGTGGGAGATGGGTGCTCTTCTGGTTTTTGGCATTGCAGTATGTGCCAGGTTCATCTTGTGTATTTCCTGCACCAGCCCTAGAATCAGGAGCCCCAGTTCCTTTTTTTCTTGGAGAATGGTATTAGAAACCAAGGTCTGGGTGTTTTCTTTCTTTTAATTGCTCCAAAAGATAGCTGACTTTGTAAAGCAAAAAATCATAGCAGTTCATGTTAGGTCTATAGCACACACAAAAACATGACAACACGGTGGGAGGGAGGACCTGGAAATAAACTGGTAGGTCCTTATATATGTCAACAGAGATGAAAAAGTGGAATTATGAAAAAAATCTTTTAATCTAAGAAAAAGTAGAAAAGAAAAAAATAAAGGACAATTTTTTTAAAAGCAACCTGGCTTTACATGGTGGTACATATCTGTAATCCTTGCAACTCATGAGGTGGAGCTAGGATGACTGCAGTATAAGGCCAGCCCTGGATAAAGTTAGCAGGAACCCCATATGAAAAAACAAACTAAAGGCAAAAGAGTGGGAGTGGAGTGTGGCTCAAATTGTAGAGCACTTTTCTAATAAGCACAAGGCTCTGAATTCAACCCCCAGCTAAATATATGCATGTATGCGTACATACATGCATATATGCACACATGTATACTTCAAGCAACATAGTAGATTTTAATCCAACTACACAGCTAATGACATCGAATGTTCAAAGATAACAAAAGACAAACAATATGCTGTCTACAAGAAACCTACTTTAAATATAAAGACATAGATAAATGGGAAAAAATATACCATGCAATCAGTAACCAGAAAAGAAGGCCAAAGTACACATAGTAATTTATTATCAAAGAAAGAGGGACATTACATAGTGCATTCCCCAAGAATAGATATGCATCTAGTAGCAAACCTCTATAAGGTGAAGACTGATAGAACTAAAAGATGAAATAGAAAAGGCTACAGTTGTAGTTAGACTCCTTAACCCCCTCTCAGTAATCAACAGAAAAATCTGTAAGGACCTAAACTAGCCTGGCATAAGAGATGTTTGAGGAAGACTTCATTCAACAATAGCAAGACATACATTTCTCATGTATGCATTGAACATTCACCAAGATAGACCATCTTGTACCATAAAACAAACCTCAGTGAATTTCAAAAACTTAAACTCATATAGATTATATTCTCTGACCATGATAAAATCAAATAACAAAAACAATACTCTTTAGAGATTAAACAATACACTTTAAAATACCCTGTGGGCCTCAGAGAAGAATCTTAAGGGAAATTTAAAAATACATGTAGCTCAATGGAATTTTATGCAGCCATGAAGAAGAACGAAATGTTATCATCGCTGGTAAATGGATGGAATTCTGAGTGAGGTTAGCCTGGCCCAAAAGACCAAAAATCGTATGTTCTCCCTCATATGCGTACATTAGATCAAGGGCAAACACAACAAGGGGATTGGACTTTGAGCACATGATAAAAGCGAGAGTATACAAGGGGGTGTGAGGATAGGTAAGACACCTAAGAAATTAGCTAGCATTTGTTGCCCTCAGTGCAGAGAAACTAAAGCAGATACCTTAAAAGCAACTGAGGCCAATAGGAGAAGGGGACCAGGAACTAGAGAAAAGGTTAGATCAAGAAGAATTAACCTATAACGTAACACACATGCACA